CAGAAAACTCGTCAGTGGATTATTTTACCTCTGCATAGCTCGTTGTCCGTCGAAGAACAGGACAAGGTATGGAAATATCATAATGATAATCATATCATATCGACAATTCAAGTAAGATAGTGTGTAGGGGCATAGGCCGCCCAACTATTGCTTGAGAGAAATAAAAGAATGAATGTGCAAGCTTTCATCGTATCGGCGCGCGCGCTTTTTGGATTACCTGTGGTATTACGTCATGCATGATCCCTTGGGATCAAAAACTAGTCTGTCACAGACAAGGTTTTGATCCCACGAGGCAAGGGATCATTRACGTAATACCACCCACAATTTGCTGGGTGCGCGCAGATAACAGWACTAGCGTAAAAGCGTGCGCATTCGTTCTTTCTCTCAAGCAATAGTTGGGTGGCCCTATGGTAGGAGCAGCATTTAAAGTCATAAAACGTCTTGAGGAGTTAAGACGCTCTGAGAAAGGCCTATATTTGATTTTTGTACGTGAGGTGTCCGATGTAGTWCCGGAGAGTCTTCGGAGGAGCATCGTTTCTACGAGTGTCCACGACGCATCATTGAATACATCTATTAAGCGCAATTTGACTTCTGTACCTTAAGATATTCGATGTTACACCGGATTGTATTCGGAAGTGCGTCGAGCCTACGAACTTCGMCGACACATCGTTTAATACATGTATATCTATAAAAGAATTTGATTTCTGTTTGTGATTAAGGTGTTCGATGTTGCGCCGGATGGTGTTCGGAAGTGCGTCGTATCTACGAACATCGCCGAGACATCTATTACTATAGATGGTATAAGGTTCATAGCTGACTCTGGTAAGGTGAGTTTTTCTAATTTTCTTTTCATTGACGTCTATTTTGAGATGGTCATAGAAATCCTAATTGTTGCGTATTTACTTTTCGCCCACTCTTATGTTTGTGCTTTCGCTCGTTCGGTCGGATGTTCAGCGATCCTTCGTCGCGCGTTCGGCACTCATTAGTGCACTCGTTTTACCGTTCTTTCATTTGCCCATTAATTTAAGCTCGTCATAATGATGCATATCTCTTATTTAACGTCTAGATCCTAGAAAAAGTACTAAAAAAATAACTGTAATCTAAAAAATACTAAAAAAATAACTGCAATCTTAGTCAATATGTTGTGTTTTTTAAAGGTTAAGGAAATGAACTTTGATGCACAGTCCAAAATGGAACGATTACAAGAATTCTGGATCAGTCAAGCAAGTGCAGAACAGAGAAAAGGAAGAGCAGGTATGTCATTAGTTTTCCCAGGCGTCTGTTCACCATGGTACACGAGAAACGTGACGTATAGTCGAGTGAGAAAGATGCACTTCAAACCGAGCGGAAGCCGTTGTTGATCATCTCTACTGAAGAAAAAGAATGTTCTCGAGCTTTTTGCAAATAGGTATCCCAAAACGATTCATTGCCATAAGAAAACGCACTAGTGCTTTGATTCCGTCTTAAGGTTCATTACCATGCTAGTTTTAATTCCAGTGCTTAGACCAGTTCAAAACTAGTTTAAGTAATGCTTTGATACTGGTTTTAATGGCAGTTTTTCTTAATGTACTAAGCTGTAATACCGGTTTTAATACCATTTTAACGTTGCTTTTTTGCTTTGATACTTATTTTATTGCCGGTTCTTACACCGGTTCTGAGGCCAATCAAAACTGGTTTTAGTGCTAAGATACCAGTTTCATWCCTAGTCTCATACAGGTTTTGATGCCAGTTCAAAACCTGTTTTGATTTTAATCTTCATACCGGTTTTAATMCCAGTTCTGATACCCGTTTTGATTAGGACGAACTGGTCCTGGCGTATGTTTTCGTCTGTACTCAGAAAATGACTACCACGCCTTCTCGCAGTACGCTACACCCGAGATCCAACGAACAGCACTCGATACAACAATTCTACAAATGATTTCTCTTGGCATCAATAACGTGCGGGCTTTCGCTTTCATTGAGCCACCTCCTACTTCGAGCATCGAAAACTCCTTGTACTTTTTGAAACAACAAGGCGCCATTACCGAGGAAGAGACCTTAACGCCCATYGGTCAGATGTTGTCACGTTTACCAGTSGATGTCGTRATTGGTAAAATGCTAGTTATGGGATCCCTGTTTCAGTTRACKGAGCCTGTTATGATCATAGCGGCCGGTCTTAGCGTCCAGTCCCCATTTACCAGGCGGTTGGATCACGATCCGGATGTGACGTCACGTCGAGAGGAACTGGAATCTGATCACGGTGATCCATTTACGCTKYTGAATGCGTATGACGAGTGGCTGCAAGTAAGATATGATTGATTATAAATCTTATTGGTCGATTCGTTGTTAAATTGACTGGTTAAATMAGTTTCGGTAGTCYTGTAACCTTAATGACGTCATGTTTTTTGCCGAAGTGCATCATGGTATTTGACGAAATTATCAAGATGGCGGATGTTAGATAAAAKTTACGGAGAGCGATGTTTCTATGTGAAATAAGTGTTACCTGTTAATGGAGATGTTTAAAAAGAACCTGTATTGACGTAACTACACATTATTGAWTATACTCAAAGACCAGTCAGCATTGCGAAATCCCCTTTGTTTTCAAAACGCTGACATAGTTTCAGTTATGTTTCTTTAGAAACACCGACGCAGCTCACACTAGTTTACCGCTAGTTCCCGACATAGTTTCAGTTTGTTTTCGCCAATCCCATGATGCATCTCATTCGACATGGCATGGCGTCATAGGGGAAAGGACCGCTGACCAAGTTATTGAATGACCATTTATTTTTTGATTGATGGCATTTATGATTAATTATTGTGTTGAACTGTTCAGGTAAAAAGCCGTGATAGTCACCGCTCTAAGAAATGGTGCAAAAGAAGAGGCCTCGARGAACAACGATTCTACGAAATGTCCAAACTCAAGAGACAGTTTGAAGACCTACTCCACGACCACGGGCTCATCGAACGAGAGCAAATCGACGAATCGGACGAAGACGAGCGCGAAAAAGAAAAATTTAAACGTCGTCAGCTCAAGCGGATGAAACAAGACCACCACAAATCAACACGAAAGAGAAAACTTCTAAAACTTGACGAAGACGAACAAGAGTCTGACMTCRTGGAACCTGGGACCGACATCCGGGACATGGAGTTCAAAATGACGCACGACTTGGATAAGTTGATTGAAGGCAGCAGCGCACGAAGGAATTTTACACTTAGGGACATCAACCTCTTGAAAATCATTCTATGTAGCGGGTTATATCCTAATCTTGCTATCGCAGACGAAGGCAACTCGTTTAAAAGAGACTCTGAACAGACTTTTCACAGTAAAAGTAAACAATACTTAATGATTCATCCAACGAGCGTGTTCTCCACCAACACGGAGGTACTGGAGGACCAGGCTGCACGTGACTTTCCTCAGCAATCACATGATCAGTCACGTGGTAACATAAGCAGCATGCATCAACTACTTGCATACGTTTCGCTTCTTGAAACCAACAAACCKTATTTGGTGAACTCAATGCGRGTACCAGCTCTCCAAACGCTGATTTTATTTGCGCGGAGYCTGGATACTAATGGAGATTTAACACGCGTGGTCGTCGATGGATGGCTCGAGCTGAAGTTCCWCGATGTCACGTCTGCGCAAGAGATAATATCCGCTGTACTTCAACTAAGGGTAACGTGGGCGCGGCTGTTGGAGCTTCGTCTTGAGGTGAAGTTAGCGCAAGGAAAGTTATCGAACTCGACAACAGATTTAAACAAATGTCGAGATCTTGAACAGCTGCTAGCGCGAAAACTGTGTGAGTTTCTAGACAGCAATGTTCGATATTCAATCACAAGATTGTTGGCCAGTGACGAAAAGTACCTGTATATAGGGCCACATGATCCTAGGAACCTTATCACACAGTCTAGCAAAGCACTACCATTCAAGGGTTCCTCGATGGCCCTTGATGTGCATCCTACAAAAGGAGGCATTCAGGTAAATGAATATCTGACGTACAATTGCTTGCAAGATGCACTTCAAGCCGAGGCGGCCTCCAACGCAGCCGAGTTTATCCAAAAGCACTGGACATGTGAGCGATGTAAAGTTAAAATGGTGGTGACAGTACTTGAGAGGCTGCAACACGAAAGCGAGTGCCTTGCCTCCAGTGAAAAGGACACTRCATCGTCTTCTGGAACCCACGATATTCCAGAATCCCAGTCGCGTCCTTCTGTGGATCATCTACGGAAAGTTTATTTTTGCAAAGAGTGCGATAAAGAATATTCATTTACGAGTACAGAGATACTAAAACACAGAAAAACACATCGTTGAATACAAAGTTCAATCAACGCTTTATTATCTGGTTCTTCCTTTGTTTAATTGTGGTCGTTCTTCCAAACTTTTATTTTTGAGAAAAGTGTAAAAAAAATCTATTTTCAACAGTTCAGTTTCGCTCCTTTTTTTTGTCAAAAGCACAACTAAAGTGATAAAATTTCCAATAAATTATTTTTGTCACAGATTTTCACAGCGTTCATTAAATTACTATAACTATCATTGACCTTATCTGGACATTTACACAAATCCGACTGTAACATCTCCCTGTAGCCGAAAAGTGGCTAAGTGTAGATCTTTAATGCGGTCCGTTCGCAAAGGCGTTCATAGTCAAGACTTTTTCTTATTTTTTTATAATTGTACGTTGGTAAATGCGCTATAAACCCGAAGCGTGCAAGGTCACTATTTTTTCTTTGTTTTGGAGTGTTATTATCAATTTCACTAAGGGTTAACGATGAAAACGTCATTACTTAACAAATGATGAATATTTCAAGTATTTCATTATACTCAATTAACTAGATATGAGCTGCTACTCAGTGMATTGGATGTTTTGAATTGATGTCCAAAATTACATTACAATTATTCATTGTAGCAATCTTAAAGTTATTTAGACCGTTTTCACTTGCGATTTTTGCAGCGCGATAACTTTGCTTTCGCGCACCTCAAATCGTACGTGCAAACTGCCTTGCGATTGCTGTGAAAAACACCGCGACGTCGCAGCTAAATTTCATGCATGTTCGAAACTCAGTCAATGATGATCGCGCTGCAAAATCGCAAGTGTAAACAGGCTTTTATTGTCGTTTCAAGAAATTCCGACTGCTAAATAAGAAAATMTAAATATACAATACAGCTGAATTTTTCAAAGTGAAATCTTTAATTTGTCATCTAACTTAAGAATTGTTTCAAAGAGTTCGACTGATTTGCAATCATGTCTAGCAGAGATTCACATCAAATTAACCATGTTGYAGTGCATAACCATGATATCCAAGCCACCATTTCAGCATGGCTAYAACTGCCCTAAGGCGAGKCTATTGAAKAAYTCTTTGTAATCCCGACGACAGTTGTATCCATGTAAAGACGGATTGGGGAGGTTSTATGGAATGCCTGTAAGTAAAAGTCTCATTCGGCCWTTAGCGGTTTGAAATTTTGAAGTGACTGTATCTTCTTCTATGCCATATATGCGCTCTGGCAATACTGTTGAAAATAGATTTTGTGTACATACAAGTAGATCTTGTATTGTCAGTTGACCTGATTTATCCTATATTTTCGATAACTTAAGAGATGGATTGTTATTTGTTTGACCTTTTAGTTAATAGCTTGTCAATTTTGTCAAGTTTTTTTTTCTGAGTTCCATTCTAGTGCCGGCTTTGTTTYGGTTGTCGTGGTAATAGGCTTTTCTACTGACGCGGTGGACTTCAAAAACACTCTTTTGTAAGTACAGGCCATTATACTTGACATAGTGACTTCTGAATGATTATTTTCCAATCCCTAATAACAGGAATCACGCGCAGTTTAAGACTGACAMTGATGGCGKCTGAATTTTTAGTTTTTGCGGTCATGTAGACTCGGTTTTTCTAAAAGGTAAGAAACAAAAGATTTAGTTTTCAACATATTTTTCTGTTATATGCCATCTTGTAGCGGTTTACCCGCAAATTTCTATTCCCTTCTTCTAAATCATTATAAATCAACGAAGAAAAGAGTGCATTTATACCAAATGAAGTCAATGAACGGAAATGTCGAAAAATCAGGCTGCGTTGAATAACTTCACTCGAAGAATTACAATTCGATATTCGACAATGTCGCATCGCCATTACCTCGCGACATTCGACAATTACGTCTGCAAGTGTTTTAGAAACATGATTTTAAGTTCTATTTGTAAACTCAGATATCGTGTACTTTTCAGATTTGTTTATGTTAAACGAAGCTGAGCCTTATTTCTTAAATGTTTATAAARGAAAACAAAACAAGATTCTTTTTCCTTTCTTTTGATTATCGCATCTCCCGCCAATTTAGTCATTTTCTTCGTAATTATTAAACTATCGTAGGGCAAATTGAAATTTAGCATTTCAGTATGATTTAGTTTTATTTGGTTTTGTTTTAAGCTCAACGGAAACAACCACTGTTCAAATATTCCATTTTTTGACACGAGATATCAGCTTGAGTTGACACTTTTTTAAAAAAGAAATAATGAAATTGAGTTGCCGCGGTGGTATTTCCTAACTTCTCACTTACTAAAACTTAGTATTAATAATTCATTTTTACAGAATAATATCTAGTGTGTTTACACACGGTGCTCAGACAATACTCGCGAGGAAGCAAAGTAGAATCAAGTCCGAGGGGTCCAGCTGTCCGTCGGTAATATACTTCAGTTGAGAAGGCTTACACTTGCACGGAATTGTTCGTGTCTCAGGTCTTGATTGCGCAGATTCGAATCCTCGTAAATCACAGAAATTTAGTAAGAAATGCCGTTGTTTAAAACTCGGAGTGCGAAAATTGAACCGTTTAATGGAACAAACGAACTTGAGACTATAGATGTTGAAAATACACATCCAAGAATGGAACTTTTTGTCAAGGTGTCCTCGTCCAACTCGCACGACAGCGCTAAGCGACGATTAGTATTGTCTGAAAGAATGGACGATCCAGAAGAAGTCTGCGAACTATCACCATTGTCATTGTACTTTATTCAACAAGAAAATCATTTGGATATCTCATCTATTAAAGACCAACAAGTTTTTTTTAGAAGATCAATGGACTTCTGCCAAAAGGATTTTCCCCCKCCACCAAATTTTCAACCGACGAGGACAAACCACGCCGGTAAGGCTATTAGAACTGAGTGCGATGGCTCTTTTTAYGATGATGTTGCTTCWCCRGTTTGGAAAAARAACGAAACTAGTGTATGCGTCGATCGAAGTTTATGCAAAGGAACAAGATGGCTTCTTAARGATGTCGACAAAACAGCGCATCTCAAATACAAACTCCGCTACAAACAGCTGAATGCTATCAAAAGTAATGATTTACACACTTGGACTTGCAGTCCGGATCGTTTTTACAATTATATATCGAAAGTTAAACACGCTAGGAGCAAAAATATGAATCTAACAATCGATACCGCAGATGAAAGGCTTAAGCACTCGCTSCTCTCGAATAGCAACGGTCGACGAGTACGGTTTCCAGCAGATGTGCTTGTTTTTGCATGCGTTCTGGAGAACCTTAGCGAGGAYCTGGAATTAGTTCTTAGGTACTCGAATGTGGATTTGAATGCGTACTTGAATGCGAGAGATTTATCTCCGCTCCATGTTGCCGCGCTGTTAGGAAATACGGAATGTATACAAGTCCTTCTTCGCTATGGTGCCAATGTTCATTGTTTAGACAACAGTGGCCATTCACCGCTGTACAAAGCTTTTTCAGGGCACCATTTTGAGTGTGCAGTTCTTTTGATTGAGCACGGGGCTAATATCAATCACTTCACAAGACAAAAAATAAAAGAGGTCGAACGGTTGAAAAAAAAGTCGAAGTTATACAAACGCGATGATCTTGAAGATTGAACTTGTTTGTATTTGGAGTACTCGATTCCGTGATGGCTGAAGATTTTCCGGCGATTTTTGTTTATCAAACCAGATGATAGCATTTTTTTAATAACTTTGTGRCTCAGCCTTTTGTAACCGATTAAATATGAACGAAGAATTAGCGGTAGTCCACCAAAATATGCTATAGAAATCATTTACTTTTTCGTTTATTCGTCCGTAAATCCCCAAAATAGATACTTAAGTTTCTATGTTTTAATGTCATTTCCAATTTTGTTTACATTGAGTATCCTCCTTTCGTTTGTATTCAGCCATGGATATGATTAAACTAATAAAACAATTCAATTGCCATTGGGTAGTTATATCATTATATTTGCCTCGAGGCAAAATTATGTGGCTTATTGTCAATCTATTTTCATTCCAAATTGTCAACTCTCGTACATTTATACCTATAAACGCACAGCGTCGGCAAAATGTAGTATTCTAAACGATCCAAATGTTGTATTTGTCGTCAGGTTTTGACCAGGTGGACAGTTTTAAAAGCTCAATGAAGTTGGGGTTGATTACACATAGCTTACAAAATGACATTGAAGCCAAAATGCAAATTGAAGAACTCCTTCGTCAATATATGTGAATTGAACAGCTGATTCTACAAYTGGCATTTTCTTCACTGTACAATTTTCAAATCAATTTAGTTCTTTAAACATGTTTTGTTAGCTGATTCTACAAAACACAATCATTTTCTTCACCAAGTGACTTTCGCTGTATAAGATTTCCAATTTGTTTAGGTCGTTTTGATGTTCAAACATGTAAGTTATTACTTGTTCAGTCCATTTGATCAAAACAATCGAGATTAAAAAAAGACGAGTTCCGGATACTTACAATGAGTGGTAGAGTGTGCGAGATCTCAGATAGAATTATTTATTGCCATCACTTGAAYCTTTCAAAAACAGATCACACACGGGGAGCCGAAATGATATAGCTATTTGATAAGACGCTCAAGTAATTGGTACAGTTTCGTCCGTTTTGACAACCAAACTTAAAATTAAAGTCGTTATTTGTCTAACCATTGTACAGTACTTTTTCACAAACGTGTTATCGGGAAATTTTACAATGGCTTTGGCGCCTTTTTTGGCATCGTGGAAGAATTAATTAAGATTGCGGATAATTATAGCGACGTTACCTTGAAATATAGCACGCGGAGATAATGGAAAGAGAGAAGAAGCTCTCCATCATTCTAAAATGCTTTAAATCAATAAGAAATTTTCCTCCGCTCTCATTGGTGGAAAGTCCATCACGTGAGAGGTGATAATTCCCGCCACTGAAGGGTACTATCACTGCATAATTGAGCCTCCCGCTTAAGACAATCATACTCTAAAAAACTTCAAAACTGCGTTCTCGGCAGACTGTTGTTTTCTTCGGAACATCCGCAGTTTCCGACAGGCAGGACAGAAACATTATCACCGGTACAAATTCTATGATAGTCCAACATTATATTATTGCTTTTCTGCTTTTATTATCTGCAATGTTTCCATTCGAAAAGGGTGTGCGTATATCGATGAAATGAAGTTAATTAATCCTGGTCACCTATATTGTACTTCGTCTTAAAGGACTACTTACACTCCAAAGAGCCTTTGCGATTGTTTGTCTTCCTTTAAAAGATATAATTTAAAAAAAAAGTAACTGTTCTGATTGGTTCTAAATCTACCCAGCAATTTGGGATAGCCCTTCATCGATTTCATATATTTTGCATGGATCTTATCCGCTTGATAAAGTTTTATCCTACAAACAAGAACTTCCCGGGTGTGTAAAAGCACTATGGAACCAATAACATGAGCTAATTGACTAGAATCATTAATACCAAAAGTCAGTGCGGGTGCAGTTCGAGTGCTAATCCAATGAAATGATGCGCCACAATTTGGATTCTCATGCGACAGGGAAAACTATCAACAAACAACAAAATCTGTTAGAGAAACTAACTCATGATCTACTTAATTTGCCGAACAAACAGGTGCATTTTGTAACTTTATTATATTGCGTGACACGACTAAATATATCTGCTATAAAACAAGAAACCCTGCAAGCTGGATGTGTTTTTAAGCATTTGCCGCCGTCTTTAAAAGCGCTTGAACGCTGAGGAGGTCTGCAGTCAACATTCACCTCATTACTTTCTAAGTAAGCAAATTATTTTTGGTAGGAAAAGTGGTCTTAAAGTTGTAATCTCTCGGCGCTACCGGTAACCCAGAAGGCTCAATTAGGTATTTAAGACATAAGTTTATAGCCGATGTTAGTAAACAATAACTGGAGCCCTAAAGAGTTTAAGCAATTGAGAATTTTTTGACAAATTARCYGCGATTTCTATATTTAGATGGCTCATTTTTAATTATGTTCAATAAATAATGATAATAACTTTATTAATWAAATTGATTTGCAATTCAAGGGATTGAAAAACTCARTAGATATGTTTAAAAGAATAGTATGAATCTTTTGGACACTTACATAAATCCTGTAATACCCGACTCCCCAAAAAGTAAAAATATATTTTATAACACTTTATTGGTCTTAAGTATTATTGTCGCATGGAAATGGCTTTGAAATATCTCCAGTGGCTATATGATGCCCCGTTTACACGAAGTCGTTCTCGCTCGGAATCTTTCAAGTTTTTCGACGCGTCACCGCTGGAACAGACCTCATCTGTGAACAGAAAGAACTGTGTGACCGACACCGAGTATGATAAACATGGAGGAATGGTGGTGCGGGCGGTAATGTAGTGCGCCACAGGTACCCCAGTATAAGTTATCAAACTTTTTTGCGGCCTATAAATCACCATTATTTCTCTGCTATTTTTAGACTTCATCAAAAGAACTTATTACCAGCATGACCGCCATTTTGAATTATGAAGAAATCATGTGATGTTCAAGGGACAAAAGCATACATAACAAAATGATACCGAAAAATGACTTCTTCTGATAATTTCGTCATGTAAATTTTGAAAGTATAGTTTTTTGTGTTATTCGTCAATGTTTTTAACAAGCAAAATGGCGACGGAAATAAATAGTGATTGTYCCCGCGCACGGGAAATATTCTCAACACACATCATGTACACAYTAGATTGGTCTTCATAAACCTGCAAAATTACACTTAATAAATCTTTATTTGGCGCATTTTTAGGAGCCGAAGTGTTGCTGCATGGGAAAAAAATATCTGTTCTTATGTCCCAGGCAGCTGTAAGTCACAACTGGTTGCCAGCGAGAAATTCAGGAAAAAAGAACTCTCCAGGCAAGGAATACTTTCTAAGAATTTTTTCAAGGAAAATAAAAATTTCCTAATTAAAAATTATAAGCCTTTTTTGACCATAAAAGAAAGAAGGACGCCACATTTGCTTGCGAGATTGTCAACAGTGTAGCTCAAAATCCCTTTCCGTACAGAAAAAATATTCGTACAATAACAGTTATTTAGAGAAGAAAGGACCCCGTCGGCTCCTCCTGCTTTTTGTTCTGACTTTTCGGTGATCACGACTTATTTTATACTTTGAATCATGGGTTAATGAAAACAAAAACCAACAATCCAAACCAACAAGGAAAACTCGTATTTACTCTACGCCTATTGGATTAATGTTTTTATTTGCGAATGTTGATTAAGCAAATGTACATTCATAAACTTTTATCTATTTGTACAAATTTCGATATATAAATATTTATAAGTCAATACAATCGTATAACAATTTTTAGACTGAAGTCAAAAAACCCGTGAAATAGGTATTACACTAATGTACGCTCTAATTGCATAGACTTCTTTTTTGTCTATTTTACTATCACACTTTAATAGTCAAGTTTTGTTTCACGGATTAAATGACTTCACTCTACAAGCATTACATTATTAGTAGGTCACTCTTAAGCCATTTTTTTCGTTATTGTTCTACAGTCACTTCCATCTATGCATATTACGTAAGGTATCTAGTGTACGCACTTAACCCGTGAAACGCAAATAATGCGAATTAGATTATAATTTCTTTGTTAAAGTGCATACACAACAACCAAGAAAACTTTGACAATTAAATAGTACTAAATTGTACTGAATTATGCGAATTCATTTGTTCCTATTGGCTATTCCACTCAATTTAGCACTTTTTGGTTGGATACATGAACTTCACGCTTTAGCGTGTGCACTCTACCATCATTTTATCTGGCGCTATTACAACAATTTGTTTCACGGACTAACTGGGAACGTTCTATTGAGACTAYTGATTATTGTACATGAACTATATTACATTGTAAGCGTTTGCGCGAATACGTGTCACATACGTACGTTTTTCAATGTAATATATATAATAMGTTCGCTAGTTAATTACTGTARTTTTGAATGACATATTCTGCGACGCAAMCCTTAAATTTACATCTTATTACGTTCACTTATCACGTACGTTTTCGATATTAATACTTTATAAATCTCAAAMATTGCGTGAGACAATCAAGACTTGCGTACGGATAATTAAGCGAATGCATAGAGAGTTACGCACCGTAATTAGGTTGAGTATGTTTTACCAATTGCGCATACTGTAAGTTTGTYACATGCTTAGAAATAAAATTACGAAAAAAATATTGAAAAATAAATGCTAAAAATTACGCGAGGCTTGGAMCGTTACGTAATTTTGATTGCGTGTTGATGGTGCTCTTTTTACGACATTTTTAAACTTGCGTGGGTCTACCGTAAAACTTCGTTTGAGCCCGTGTTATGGTAACACTTGATTTTCAGACTTTATTCTGTTTATAATGCAGTGTTAAGAATTGTTTTCTTGTAAGTTCTAGCCATGTTGTTAATCTCCGCAAGTTCTTGAATCCTAGTTCTCGTGTACGATGACATGTCCGTACCGCACTCGATAAGAAATATCGCACACTTATAATGGCATTTGCGTAACGCTGCGTTTACGGGAACAAAACCGTCTTGATCAGGAAGATTTACGTCGGCGCCATATTGGATTAGTGTGTGTATGCTTTCCAGATTTCCCGAGGCTGCCGCTTTATGAAGAAGGGATTTTCCACTGGGACTCAACACRTTAACGTCAAGTCCTTCTTTCTCCATGACTTTACGAATTTCTGACGGAGAGCTCTCACCAACAGCGCTTARAAGCATTGCAGAAGGCGAGAAAGAGATTTTCTTTTCGCGTGGACTTGTTTTGTCAGGAAAAAACTGCTTGTTTTGTATCGGAGTTAGTGATTTTAGTGAATGGGGTCCTTCAAGACCACCGAAGAAGTGCTTTCGTAGWCGAAGGATGACTTTCACAAGAAGAGGAACGGCCCTGTGTTCACCTTTYTGTAGCTTCGCTCCAAATATATCCATCTCGCCCTGTTCGTCATCCAAGAAGTATTTCTTCAACGAACCGCGTTTCTTTTTACTGCCTGATTTCTCACCAGCCTCGATGACATATCGAGATATCGATTTAAGTTCTTCGCGGAAGTCATCCTCTGTTGATATTCCAGTCTGGCATTGACAAAACTCATCCTGGCAATCTAGAAACGAGTCACTCAAGTCACTAGTTACAACACTAGACGCAGTTGAATCCACTGAAAGTTCYTCRGAATTAGCMAGAAGAAATTCGCTCAATCGGACCTGCGTCGGAGAGTAATCGGAAAGTGAAAGTCTCGTCGGACCAGGTAAAACATCATTTAGTCCGATRGGTAGTGAAGGTAAMGAATCTCCGTCGTGAATTGCCTTACTGTGYGARTACTCACTTGAAGTGGAGCTGGCAACAGAGCGATGTGGGATGCGATTGGACGGCACGGAGCGTTCCACTTGAAYTGGTGTAGCGGTACTAGTAAYAGACGAGCAWGGGCTGCCGGGTCGCACAGGGCTACTTACAGATGTAAACGAGGAATCCTTCAGCTCATCACGTGGTGAGCTTGGACTAGACCCAACATAGCCGCTTTCAGTTGGTGACATAGCRGCAAKAAGTAGCGGACGACKTGACGCTTCTCTTTGTTCTCTCGCGTTCCCTATTTCAGTTGGATTGATTAAATCWTYAAGTTGTTTTTCAATATCATRAGATTTGGGTGCCTTAMTCTTTGGTTTCCTCCTCWGTGGTCTTTGATATCGGTTGAGACTCTGTGCCGACAGCTCGCTGGCACTGGASACCGAGAATGCATCRTCATCACTTGAGGYGTAYGGTAYTTCCACAGACCTTACTCGTACCTTTTTGATTGATGGCTTATTTGTCGTGTGATRTTTYTGGTCTGGTTGAATTGTAGCGTTATTGTGTTCACAAAAGTCCGCGTTGTTGAAGTGTTTTGTGTTGAAGTAGCTGTTGTTTTCGTGTAATCCTTTTCTTGGCYTGCCATTGTCCTCCAAGATCAATGACTCATCTAAGTCAATGCCTTTACAATTCTCCGTTCTCCACGCTCTTGAACTTGAATCTTGTATTTGCATTTTTCTGCTTACATTAACATCATTTCCTGAAGCTATTTTATCGTGGGAAGGAAAAGACGAGTCATGAACTCCACTATCAAAACATTCTCCATTTCTTTCAACTTGGTTCTCCTTAAATGAATTAGCTTCTGCTTGGTAAACAAACGAGTTACTCGCATTCTTGGATTGTTTACTGATAGACTCCCGACGATTTGTTTGAGAATAAACACAATTGCCATTAGATATGCGTCTTTCTATTTTAAGGTCGACCGTCCTGTCAAACTGGTCGCATTTGTCYTCATACTGGACGACTTCGCATATTTCAACGTCTTCATAACGGACGTTTTGCGGTGGTATTTGACTCTTAGCTTGACCTGTATTATTGTAAATTGTATGTGATGGATTTACCATTTGAGTTTCCTGATTTCCAAATGTGTTAGCAAAGTCAATAGCRGTGTCATCTTGACCATTCTGCTTGTCAACAGGAGGTAAATTGTGGCTCAGTRATTGATTTTTCTCTCTATAATTGTCCTTTCTTGGGCTACGTGAAAGACTAATGGTGTAACCATAAGACAAGTCATTGTTATTGTTGTCGTTTTGATGTGAGGTTGTCAACTTTGACATTTTATTTGTCATACACTGTGTTTCCTGGTCTTCTGGTGTATGCACAGCATGCTGCATTTCACTATAGCTATGCGGAAAAACACGCTCTRCGGCAAACTCTTTAGGTCTTTCGCTTCTATCTTTGTCTAAACCACTAGAAGAGCTTTGGTTTGTTGATTTAACATAGGTCTTAACTGGYGGTGGACGAATTTGCAGTGATATTGAGTTGGTTTTTGTCGATTGTTCATCGGCAGGAGGSCTCTCTTTAAAGCTATTAGTGTCAATAATTTCACGATATGAGTCCGAACAGCCCAAGGCAGGCCTAGAACCAAATGATGGCTTAATAGATAGATCCAACGTTTGTTTTAGCAATTCTGGATCGTTTGTTTGCAAATCTTTGTCTTCTCCGACAGGAATGATGAGGAAAGAAGTATTACGTTCAACAATAGCATCTTCCCAGCCAGCCATGACATTTTCTCCTTCCAAAGGCGCTTCATTGTGCCCCGAGAGTACTTTGATRTCCACATTTGGTACATTGTTTTGGTGGTTTACACTCAAACCAAAGCTTAGGTCTTCACGTTTGTCTGATAAAGAGTTTTCGAGTTTGTTTTCAAGATATTCAACTCGCTGMGTTAGAAACTGAAGTCGCTGTAAAATCGCTACATCGTAAGGGCTGTAAAAACGATCAGAATTTGACCTTTCAGGACACTCAAAATCATTCCATACCGCGGRATCCAAGGATGACTTCTTCTCGAGTTGTTGGTCGCTCATTTTTTCACGTGTCCTTGTAAATTGGTCAAAGCGGCATTCTTACTAAGACCCAAGCAAGCTTGTCAGTGACGTTTTACCGTGTTGCGCCTTGGTCGCCAACGACCCGTCCCATGGGAGTACAAATAAACAAMCCACAGARACTTTACTAGTCATCAAAACCTAGTCTTTTCTTTAAGCCCTAGTTGTCATCGCTAAAATGACAGCTTTCAGACAACATTGAAGTGAATATTTCTAAAGGTCAAATTATRAAAACACCTACGTTGAAATCATAAACTCATTACGGAATCACTAATTAATAGACTGCGAATTTCGGCACCTTACAACGAGATTAAAGTGAATAGCGAAATTCTTTTGTTTTAGTTTTGGCGATACTTGTTTGAGGTTCAATTAAAATTGCATTAAAACTGAATTAATAAATGTATTTAAACTTGAATGCGTATGTCAAGTTGTAATCTTTGGCCTCTGTGATCTATAAGATAACTTCATTGAAAAAAAAAAACATCAGTTGAGTCAAAAGCTGTGTTTAATCTGTCAAAGGCACTGATATTTAGCCCTATAGATAACCTGTAGTTTTTGCTGGGAATGGCTTTATGATAGATTTGTAACTATGAAAGAAACTCCAGTTTATAATTGCACTGTTGGTCTCGCCCCTCTAGCTCCGTGTTGATCTTTCATGATTAGTCTTTGGTACCAGAGGTTGGAAATTACCATTTCTTATAGTATATTTGACGGCGTCAAGTGCTGTTAAGTTTTTAAGGTCKTAAAGCCGAAAAGGTAATGATATCCTAAGGGTAAATTACAAGGAACCCAGCGTAATTCGTGATTGGTTTAAAAAAAGGAAAGCTAATAAAATGTAGTTACGACCGAGCTGGTTTTTGAAGAAATGTGAAATTTAACATTTCATTTTATTATAAAATAAATAGAAATATTAAAACAAACAAGCCATCAAAAAACAAAAACTAGAAGCTAAGAACATCAACTTGCATAGAACCACCCCTCCCCCAAAGTGTACTTTTTCGCTGGAACTCTCGTTGTGCGACAGAAGCAACAACAACAATAATAATAAACTTAATATATTCTCAGTTACAATTGTTTTCGTTTCCTTCGATGATATTTGAACATTGGACCTCGTACAGTGACCTGTCGGAAATTGCCGATGAGTCAGAAACAGACCATATATACAATAGATTTACAACAGTAGAATTTTCCGTTCAAATTTGAACGTATTATAAATATTTTGCAAAGACGAGAATTTTATGAAGCTGTTACGTTTTCAGCTCAGAAATGATTGAAAGATGACAGATACCTCGCTCATATTGATCAGCGGAGTTACACAATAACTACACTGACGTGTCAAGATGGCGGACCGACGGAACGAACTTTCATACTCCAAGATGAACAACCCTCGTTCTTCTCCTCATGGAATATCCCTGACAAGTTTATCAGAACCTTTGAACTTCGGTCCAGCTCTTGTACCTACTCTACAGCCAACAGGAACACCAACAAGCGTTTCTGCATCAAACGAGGCAACTACAACTTCATCGAGTGGAAGCCCATCTCGCGGTATGTTGTGCAGCAATTGTGTTTTTAGGAAAGACAGCGAAGTTAATCAAATTAATTTTAAGATAAATGGGGTTTGCATTGTTAGTGCAGTGATTGGATGCTATAACAGTATAATTTATATGCATAAAGTAAGTCTATTTCAGACATGTAAACATGTTTTGTGGTCAAATTTGTGTGGACGAAATCAGCTGTGCAACGTCAGAATTGTCAACGTTGCTTGATATGCCAAAAAATTAAAGATATAGTGCATGTATAGTCAAAGGAATATCGTATTTTTTAAAAATATGAATAAGATCTGGCTTGGTGTATTTTCCCGCATATTAAGCTTCATAATTGTGTGGGAAATTGTTTGATGTCATGAGTTATAACTAAATAATATTGTATTTAATAATTGATTGTTATTTCCTCAAATGATGGATAATTTCCTTCAGATTTCTTGATAACTATAGTTGAAAGACCTTTTCTTAATTTGCAAAAATATTGAGCTTTATCAAGCAAGAAAGTGTGTTACATGCTGAAAATGTTTGTATTGCAAATTTATAAAAACGTCCAGACTATTCCTTATTTACAATTGTAAACAACTGTTTCAGGTCTGTTCCCCATTGATCCTGATGCTGTTGACAGTTTTCTTGGTCAGCAGTCATCCCCACCAGCATCTTCATCCATTCAAACTCCGTCATCAAAACCTCAAGCCCAGTCCTTCCTCTCAACATCATCATCAATGTCATCTACACCACAGCAGAAAACACAGTCAGGACCAAAGCACTTTACCATGTCAGGGGCTGGTCATGATAGCGATAACTTTTTTACCCCATCAACTCAAGCGCCGCCATCATTCATGTCGCCAGCTGTATCCAAGACAACACCCAGACCTCAAATGTCCGTTTCTCCATTGCCATCTATAGGCACATCTATGAATAGTGGTATACAAACTGGAATGCGAGCCCCAGTGATGTTCACACCCCCTGCACCAACAAGCACAAGTAGTCAGCCACTACTCTTCAATCCAGCTTCCATTGGAGGCACCCAGTCAACTATCCGGCCACCAATGTCATTTCCAGCATCGACACCCCCATTGCAAACAAACTCCCCCCTTATCCCCCCAGCGGGTCAACCTGGTCAGTCATCAAGAAGGGTGTACCCACAGGCACCCCAGCAAAGTAGTTACACCCAACCGCAGTATCCTGCACCAAGCATTCCATCATTTCCACCACCCATGAGCTCATCAATCTATCAACCTGTTACCCAGTCCTCGACTCTGCCATCAAGTACACAGCTACCCCAGTCATCATACCAACCATCGGCAATGATACCAACAATTCCGCAACACCAGACCCAGACATTCTTACCTCAAAGAACCCAACAGTTCCCATCATACCCTGCTTCAGGAGAAGCCCCTGTGCTGCCAGTAGTTCAACAAGGGGAGTCGCAAGAAGGAGTCGTGCCGTCCATGTCAGTCGCTCCTGTGCAACCGCATTGGTTTTATCTAAAAGACAGYAGRATATGGATGCCGTTTTCTTTTATAGACTCTGACAATCTAGAACATTCTCATAGGGTAGCTGTCGATGGAAAAGACAGAATTGTTCCAACTGATGGTGGGCGGTATGATGTTAGCTTAGAGAAGCGTTCAAGGGAGTCGGTGTACTGGGAGGAGCCTGCTACAGTTGTAAGGAGATGTACCTGGTTTTATAAGGGAGACGGTGGGACCAAATTTATACCTTACGATGAAGATATTGCAGAGAAACTTGAGGTAGGAATTTTGGCATGTGTAAAAATTGTGATATAAATTTTCAAATTTTATAAAATTGCTACAATAATTACCAGCAATAAAATCCTCTTGCACAATATTAATGATGTTTTTATCTTGAGATACTAATAAAAAAGTAAGAGTTACATACCGAGAACGGAGGCAATCAGCCTAATACATGTATAGGCTGATTGCCGACGTTCGAGGTATGTAACTAGCTTATTTCATACTTGAAGAAGTTTTCCAAGCACTGCATTAATATTTTCATTTTTAAATAGGCAAAGAAGCCGTTTTCATATGAATTAAAAACCAAACCCTCGATTAGAAAGATTACGAAATTTACATTATTGACCATTCCCAACGGGAATAATTTGCATAACCAATTTTCTCGTTAGTCCCATGAGACCAAACCTTTTGTAACAAGTAACTGGACAATGTTAAATATCTGTTTTATTCCATAACTGACATCGATTAGTCAGTTAGCATAACTAAACGTGTTAAGTATAGGATTTTCAAAGCTAAGGTTGTGGGTTCGAATCTACTTGGTGTCATTTGWATTTTTCTTTCTTTCTTTCAAGTTTAAAGTTTCAGACGGAAAATTTCTAAGTTGAACGTAGTATAGTTAATTAGGTATTCAAGGGCAATAAGTACATTAGTATTCAAGGGCAATATATAGATATATCCCTGAAACTTCGTTATAAAGCACTTGAATACACAACGAGCTGGGGAATAAGCGAGATACAACACTATGAATAACAAAGGAAACTGAATCAAGTATGAAATAAAAGTTGATAATGACCTGTGTTTGGAATTGTGAATGGTATTAGCACAACTTTGTAAAAGATTGATTTAAGGTTGGATACTAGTCAAGAAAACCCATTTATTAGTGGTCAATATTCTGACAATATTTTCATATTCGTGTAACTTCTAGAATGAGTTCCAGTCCACTGTACATCATAATCTATGGCCAAGAAGAATTGACCTGAGTAATGGTGAATATGTTATTATCCATAATACAAATGTAATGGTCCACTTTAAACCCAGTGAAGTCCAGGACTGGAGTGGAGAGGATATCAAAGCCAGGCCTATGGTAGTGAGAAGGGGTATCTTTGATATTGAGGACAGTATAGATGATGGTAAGTAAATCATAAATTCAATCATGTATTATGCATGACGTATGTGTAGCCAAGTGTGAAAAATGTAAGGATTATAGGTTTAGGGTAAGGTTTAGAGTTAGGTTTTGATTTGGTTTAGGGTTAGGTTTAGGGTTGGGAATAGGGTTGAGCCAGAATTATATAAAAATTTTCTTCATTAATAAATTGCAATTTAAGATAAAAACAATTACAAACATTACTACCAACAAAATCCTTGATGGTATAATTGGTAGTACTGTGGACTATGAAGAAGTGTTGTACTGGAACAAATTAGAKTAAACTGGTTCAAAATATATATATATTGAACCTGAACTACAACATATACATGTCAGTAGTTATGTTTCTTTGATCTCAGGTATTTTCATTTTTTTTGTCATTTTTCATCTCAAATATAAATTATTATAACCCTAAACCTAACCCTAAACTGATTTGTACTGGATTGAGTTATATTGGACTGGCCCAAAATAAACTGAACCAGTTCAGAAGAAATTGAAATTGTTCAAAATCATATTGAACCTGAACTACAACATATACACAATGAATGTATTTTTTATTTTTTTTCATAAAATATTGTTATTTTTTTTTCTTATAAGGTGAGCCATCTCAAATAGACCATCTAGTGTTTGTAGTCCATGGTATTGGACCAATAGCTGACCTGCGCTTTAGAAATATTGTAGAATGTGGTAAGTTAAAAATACTTAATTAATATTAGAACTTCTCCCTTAAAACTATGTTAAGTCTTTTCACACCTGTTTTTCTTGTGGGATTCCTGTCCATTTAGGACTACCTCAAAACTGAGCAAACACTGAATTAATGGAGCTCATTCACTTTTGAGATGGAGAAATCTTGAAAGGAGTTCAATGAAATACTGCTGTCGGTTGTACAAAGAGTGGATAAAGGAATCCACCAGTTAAAGTTATGAACTCCTTAGATTTTTTATCGATTTTTATTTTATTATTTAGTACAGACAGCCCCAGTGTTGTTAAATGTATCATGTGACAATAAAATAACGACACTAAAAATGTTTGAGTTTGCACTTACATGGATGAATAGTGCAGTAAAACACTGCACAGTCAAATAATTGAAAGTACTCTTATGTTAATTAATTGTATGTTTCTTGTAGTTGATGATCTACGAATGGTAACTTTGTCAATGATGACAGAACATCATGATGAATTAGCAAAAGGACGGACTATTGGTCGCATTGAGTATCTTCCTGTACAGTGGCATTCAAAACTACACAACGACTCCACTGGAGTTGACGAGTATGTGATAATTATCAATTGATATTAAATTTTTAATATTAAAKCTTTGGTTTTCATGTGGCAGCGATTACTTTAAAAATGTTATAACTTTTTATTTTTGTATTTTTAGGAGACTTCATTCTATATCACTAAAAAGTATCACCAAACTAAGAGATTTTACAAATAGCACACTTTTGGATATTTTATTTTATACAAGTCCTACGTATTGTCAGGTATTAATTATGCTTTTGATTGCTTAAATTTATTGATGTTGTGATGCTTGCATGCACTAGTTATTAATTTACTGAATTTTGTAGCTAAGTATTTTGCATTTAAATGCAGACGATTGTGGATGTTGTGGGATCAGAAATGGCTCGATTACTGGAAATATTCAGAAAACGAAATCCACTTTTCAAAGGCAAGATTTCAGTGTGTGGACATAGTTTAGGTAAGCACATTAAARTACACATCGTCCTCGTCTTATACCCTGGGGTAAAATCTCTTAGGGGTTAAAAACCAGTCAGCCACGCCCTTTTTTCAAGACTTCTTGGATCTTTTAGGGGTCTTTTTAAAAATATCTGACGAGCATCCCCAGTACTTTTACCCCGGAGTCCCCCACCACTCGGGTCCTCTACTCTCATTTTATTTGGATTACCCAGTAGAGAGATTATCTCCTCTAGTAGTAGGTATTGTACATGGTTAATTACTGTGGTTACTGTTAAATGTGATTTGAGTAGCATTGAAAGTGTTTGTGACAACTTACATTAGATTCTGTGTTCATCAGGGTCGAGTATTATGTTTGATATCCTGTTTCACCAAAAAGATGAGTCAAAACCACCAGCAAAGCCAACAGAACCAGAGTCAAATAGGTAATTAAAATGCTACTATCATCATCATCATCATTATTGTTGTCATGACGATTATATCTCACACTCATAAATTATAGTGAACCCACAAACCAGGAATCATCTGAGGATGAAGAAGATGAACCAGTTGCTACCATTAGTGATGTACTTAACCAACTGGGCTTACAAGATTATGAAGCAATGTTTGAATCAGAAAAGATTGATATGGAAACTTTAGTGAGTATAGCAGCTCTCTCAATTTTTATATTAATTTACAATGTACTAATCACTAGAAGATGGGATTGTTCAGAGAACAAAAGGCCAGCGAAAAGTGAGTTATATGATTGTTRAAAACATTGTGTTCTCATCAAGTGTTCTCTCAACACTCTTAAAAGTGTTTCTAAAAGAAAATGGAAAACATGGAAAATATCCTTACTTGAAAGCTGTGTTTTTATGCTATTTGTTGCAAATTTCAAACAATCAAAATGTGCGCATTATCCAATAGTTATTTTTATTGAGAGTTATTATAACTTATTATTAAGTATACTTTGAACTAATACACCTTATAAAAGACTCAAATTCTATAAGATTTTCTTTATCTGCTTTGAAAATTCTTACTTTAGTAAATATTGTTAGTATTCACTGACTATGTTTGGTTGCAGATCACATTCAGTGAATCAGACTTAAAAGAGATGGATTTACCAATGGGACCAAGAAAGAAAATCTCTGGTTTTCTCAAGCAACATTCAGCAAACATGGTTAGTAATAAATAATATACTCATGTCATTCAGTGATAAAGCTCTCAATGTTTCAATTTGATGTAAACTAAGAAAAGATTTTTTTCATGTTAAGAGAAATCTACTGTGTTTTTTGTTATTAGGAGAAGAGCAGATTGGAAAAAGCTGAGAGAGTAAAGGCCAAAGCAGCAGCCAAAGCAAAGATTGAGGAACAGAGCAAGGATAATCTTGACAGTGCTTCATGTTCTTCACTTGAAACTGTTGAAAGTGTTGAAGTTCTTTATCATCTTGGTGTTGCTGGAACTGGACAACCTAATGTTAGATACCCTAAGTTAGACTTCAAACCGTTTGCCATGTTTGCATTAGGTTCACCTATAGGAATGTTTATGACTGTCAGGTGAGAGATTTTCTGTCCCTTTCTTTGTACTTTATTAGCATTTTTTCCTCTTGTCACTCCTTTCTTCAAAATTTTGTTGTCATTCGATCCTTCCTGATCCTTTCAAGACCCCTCTGATTAACTACCCTTTCTTCCTACAAGTATTTCTTTATTTCATATTACTCTCTATTCTTTTCCTTTTTTCTTTCATTCATTCTCCTTTCTCATTTTTATTTCCATCCTTCATTTTCTTCACTTCTGTACAATCCCATATTTCATTAACCTTATATTCTTTATTAAATGTTAATAACTTCTTTCTTTCCTCCTTTCTTTCCCATTTTCATTCCTTCTTTTATTCCTTTCTTTCCTTCTCCTCTTCCCTCCTAATACCTCTTTCCACTCTTGTTCCCGTCCTTCAACCTTTCTTTTATTTCCATCTTTCCCTCCCTTCCTTTTCTTATTCACTCTCACTCTTCAATCCCCTTTAATCCTTTCTTCTTATCCCTTACCTGTACTTCTATTGTCCCTTTTTCATCTACTCCTTTTTCAATTTCATTACAAAATTCCCTTTCTTCCTTTCATACCTGCTAATTCATATTGTATGATTKATAATTCAGAGGTGTGGATCATTTAGGACCTGACTATCAGCTCCCAACATGTCAGAAATTTTACAACATTTTCCATCCTGTAAGTTTGATAAATACATGTACATTTTAGATATAAACTACATGTWMYGTTAGCTAAAACTGAACTGTTGTTKAAAAATTCTGTTAAGTTTGATCCAGTTGCTTACCGAGTTGAACCRTTGGTGGACTCAACCTTTGCACTGAGGCCTGTAATGCTGCCTCACCATAAAGGAMGAAAACGTATGCACCTAGGTAAGTCTGTAACATAATATGAAAATATTTACTTTCAATTTTAATACAACATCCCTTAGAATGTCTTGATATGAAAATCTTCGCTGGCACTTCACTGTGTTCTAATGAGATATATATACAAAAAATGGTGTTTTTGACGGTGTAATCTTTTGTTTTAATTTTAGAGTTGTGGGACAATCTCAGTCGATTTGGTGCTCAGCTGAAAGCAACACTTCATGACTCTGTGAAGAGCACCCTAGAATCAATCAATGAATTTGCAAGAGCTCACACAACAACTGTAGAAGTGGCTCAAGAAGTACAAGTTGAACCACCKTCACCTGCWCGYTCWGCTGCAAGTGATTCATCAGAAGGTATCTACTAGTAGTAGCACTCTGTTAAAACAATAAACTGGTGACACTTTAGTCTACTGTAAGAAGGAAGAACCCTTAGAGGGTCTTATCTACATGTACAATGTACTTAATGTGGCAGTCAGAGACCCAGAAGGGGGAGGGAGAATCCATTAAAGAAGGGAATGACGCATATTGTCAGAAATTATGAAAATAACCCCTAACCCCTTTTTTTGCAAGATGATGGGTGTGGCAGTGATAAAATCGAACCCCTAAAAGTGACCAATAAATCAAGAATAATCATTCTGATTTGGCTTCTTGATATATATTAATAATATGACACTGGCATCACTAGTATCATTTTATGATGACATCCATGAAGTAGCATGTTTGATCTTACATGTATACTGACAACTGAGGCCTATCATAAAAGGGACCACAAAAATTTGTTCATAGTGGAAATTCTCATCATTATCACCCTAACTGGGTCGAAACATTTCTTCTCTTTCATAAAGGAGTTCCACAAGATAAAACTCATTTCTGCACGGTTACTTATAATGCATTTTTATAGACCTTATCCTCAATTTTTTTAACAATGTAGATGAAAGAACACGTCATGAGTTAACCATCAAGATTGGTCAACTAAATGGTGGGGATAGAATTGACTATGTACTACAAGAAAAGCCTATTGAGAGTCTAAATGAATATCTGTTTGCCCTKAGCAGCCATGTTTGTTACTGGTTAGTATGGATGTTTTCATGTAATGAAAAGAAAACAGCAGTATTTGGTTGAATGAATGAGATGAAATAGATGGATGAAGGGAGGGATGTGATGGTTGAAAGAA